AGGCCGCCGCCGCCGCCGCCGCCGCCATCCTGCTGAGCAGGGCCTCTCCAGGCATGCAGGCGCTGGCAGGGGCGGTGCCCCACGCTGCCGGTGGGGGTGGAGGAGCGCCAGCCGCCCGCGCCGCCGCGGCCGGCGCCGCAGCTTTCCGGCCAGGGCCGCGCGCCGCCGCGGGCGGCGGCGGCGGCGGCGACGTGCGCAGCGCAGCCAGGGGCGAGCGCACCGGGCGGCGCTGGCGCGGAGACTTGCGCGGCGACGCGGCCGGAGACCTGCTGCTGCTGCGCCGCCGCTGGTGCTGCTGCTTGCCCGGCCCAGGCGCAGGCGCAGGCCCGGCACCAGCTGCTCCAGCCGCTGCAGCCGGCGGCGGCTGCGGCGAGCGGCCTGCTGCCGCCGCCGGCAGCACCACCAGGCGCTGGTGGGTGTGTGGGCGGCCCAGGTCGGGGCGGGCGCCGGCGGGGGCCATGACCGCCGCCAGGTGGGAGGCGCGCCGCTGCTTGGCCAGCTCCCTGCGGCTGGAGGGCCTGCAGGAGGCAGGCAGCAGCGGGAGGCAGAGCTGGGGAGAGTGTTGCAGGAAGGGGTCGATCTGGCTGACACAGAGGCCCATCCTAGGTTGTGGCGAAGTGCAGCAGCCGACCAGACTGCCAGCTGCGAGGCGCGGGCGGGCAGCTGGAGGGCAGGAGGCTGCACACAGGCTGCACACAGGCTGGACAAAAAAAGGAGGAGGCCGGCAGCCCAGCCACCCGGGAGCCTCAACCCACCAGCTCCTCCCAGCCACATGGCAAGCAAACCCAAAGGCAAAGCGCGCACCTCTTGCCCAGCAAAGCCACCTCCGGGGACTGGTTGGCAGGGAGCGCCGCCGCGGCACGCTGCCTGCGCTGCGCGGCCGCCGCCGCCGCCGCCTCGCCCTCGCGCTCCGCCTCCTCCTCCTCCTCAGAGCCATCAGACACGCCCAAGCGCTGCCGCCAGCGGCGGCGGCCCCTGGGGCTGACGCCCAAGGGGCCTTCATGGCCGGCAACCGGCGGTGGTGCCGGGCCGGTGACCGACACCACTGCTACAGCGGCCGGCGCCGCACCGGGCCGTGGCGGCGAGGCGGCGCCTGCTGCTGCGTCAGCGCCAGGCGCTTGCCTCAACACCTGTGGCTCCGCCAGCGGCGGCAGCTCCTGCGTGCCGGCAAAGTGGGAGGAAAGCAGGCCCACCACCTCCATCGCCTGCTGCACAGCCTGGCTGCCTGGCGGCATGTCGCCGGGATCGCTGCCGCCGACCGGGACAGACGGTGCCGCCGCCTCTGCTGCCGCCGCCGCCGCCGCTGGCGCCCGGCCCGCGCCGCTCTCGTCTGCTGCGGGCAACGCAGCCGCCTGCAGCGGC